TCATAATCTCAAACCCCAGTAACCACATATATATACTTTTCTTTCTATAACTATTCCCCTAATTGGTGAAATAACTTTTTATTGTCCCATATTATGATTTTTTACTTTCTACTGCTAAGTAATTGGCTGTCACTGAATACTCTTTAAAATATAATTTTGAGTATATGCATAATTCTCACCTTGTTTCTGTATAAAATCATGTTATCTTCCTAATCAGCAAATCAAGAAAATAAAGCAGTAGTAACTATTTGTTTAAACATTTTTAAAAAATTCTTAAATTGAGCTGATATATGATAACATAATATTGAATTTAGATCTCTGTGTACAATTTTTCCACATAGCTAGTCTAATACTTGTGACAACAATGAATCAAAAAAGAAAAATACTTATAGGCATATTAAATGAGCAATCTTTTCATCTTAAGGCAAAATTCTCTTCATAGTACAACTTTCTCAAATATAATTTTTGCAAAGTAAAGGTAATAAACATTTTACTTAAGTTAGCAAAATGACATTAATAATGAAACACCCATTCACCCTCTTTAAGATTTTATTTTTCTCTTCAGAGGAAGAAAAATATCAGAATTTTTACCTGGGGAAATGATATAGAAGAAATCTTTAAATTCATCCATCCAAACTTCTGCCAGTCTCCTATTGTTCTTGTTGATGACATGACCAGTGCCACCCGGGAAAGTGTACGGTGTTGCCTTTCGAAAAACATGGCCAACATGGGAGCAAGTCACAATCTCCAATGAGCCTCCACATTGCCAAATCTGGGGAAGAGAGTGATCACGGCATAACCATCACGTAAGATAATGCTGCATATCGAATGAGAATCAACTGAGATGGAGGTCAAACCCTCAGCTATTCCATGTGTCAGGCAAACATCTGAATGACACAGGACTGGCATTCTTCAGTTTGGCAAAGGGTAATAATTTGGAAAATCTCAATATAGTTCATTATCATAGCATTGGAATCACAGAGGTAAGTGGTAATTATTTTCATGTGTTTTATTAGAGTAACCAATTAGAGTAAACTTCATTACTATTTAATAGATACTTGGAATCCAAATTCTGTCATGAATGAATGCTAGAAATCTGTATGTATTAGAACCCATGGTCAATCACTCAATTTTCTTTGGGGAGCAACCAATCAATTATATAGTACATTCTTGTGGAATTTTAGATTTCTATTGATATCCAGATGTTTATGTTATTATTATTAAAATGTCCTTGGATTCCTTTATATCTGTTCATTGTCCATGCATCTTTCAAATCCCATCTCCAAGATCACTATTTCTAGGGGGCCCTGTGGGAGATTTAGTATTGTTTGTCTTTTGTACTTTAAACATATTATGAAGAACTGATTATACTATATTTAAGTAATTGTCTACTTCACTATCTCTCCTTTAAAAATATAAACTCTTGGAAGAAAGTTATATATTTTTTGGTATCACACACACACACACACACACACACACACACATCTCCTAACATTTACTTTGCATTTGAGGCTTGGTATTGAGTAAATATACATAGAATATTTATTTTGGGGCCACCCTGGTGGTGCAAAGGTTAGGTCTCAGCACTGTCAAGCCACTGGCAGTCACTGCAGCGTGGGTTTCCCTTCATGTAAATTAACATAAATTATATTTTATTGGTATGTTGTTCTCCCTCTGTCAATTTTCATTCATTTTTTACCTAATATGAAGTGCTATTTATTTCTATATTTCCCCCAAATTGTCATAGTGAACCTCAAAATTCCTTAGTGAACCTCAAAATTCCTTAATGAAACTTTCTTGTATCCCTTTACTTGTTTTGCCTAAATTCACAGTTTTTACATTGTTACGTTGACATCCATCCTTTCTATTCATTAGGTGGCCTCATACATCTGAATACTGACAACCTCAACAATCCCATCTCAGTCCAGGCCTCTCCTCTTGGATCCAGACCTGGGTACCCAAACATCTATTATAACACTTCCTTTTGCACATTTAGAGGTACCAAAATTAACATAGCGAAAGTGGGATGATTGTTATCCAGGTCACATTATTTTCTTTTTTCAGTATTTATTTGTTTTAATCAATAAATGATGCCACCATTCACCCCAGGTATTTAATCTAGAGATAACAACAAAGAAATCCCAAAACCCTAGAATCCATCATCGATTTCTCCTTTTTTTCCTCCTTTCATGATTTATATTTAACCCAATAACAAATCATGATGGTGTTATCTGTAAATATTTTCCAGAATATTTATCTCCAATATGTCTTGTCTGATTATTGCATTAGATTCTTATCTTGATGCTTTCATGGTTGTGCTCCTATAATTTAATTTGTACTGAGAAACAGAGTAGCCTTTAAAAATCCAATCATTTCATTTTATTTACCTTTTAAATAATTCAATAATTGTGCACTTAAACACAATCTTTCAGCATGGCCTCCAAGAACCTCCCTTTTTCTCTCCTTCTGCCAATACATATTGGTCATATTGGCCTTCTACCATTTCCTAGAATAATGTTTCTCAAACTCACACACCAATACTTCAACATGTGTTTTTCCTATACTTGGAATAAAATCCCATCAGTTCTTTGCCTTATTACCTGTTTCACATTACCTTTAATTTTAGCTAAAATATTACCTCATTCAAGAGCTCTTCCCTAACTTCAATATTTTATATATCCTACATTAGTTGTTTTCTTAAATAGCACCCTGATTGTGTTCTTCATTGCTGTAACAATTTTCAACTTATTTGTCTATTTATTTTTATGTATATTTTCCCCAATTAAAATTTAAGATACAGGGCCCTCCCTGGTGGCACAGCGGGTTAAAGCACTGCACTAGGAAGCTTAAGCCACTTCCGCATGAGTTTGATTCCTGCCTGCCGCGGAGGAGTCCACATGGCGAGGCAGACCTCTCCTGACCCGCCCGCTGCTACCCTCAGCAGTGTACTTCGTCGATCTGCCTGTTCTGCCCCCCACTCTGTCTCTGGTGAATCCTCTCACCCTCCGCATCTCTGGCCTGTACCCCAGTTCTATATGAATAAATGAATAAATCTTAAAAAAAAATAAGATCTAAAAGGAAAATGGAGATTTCTGATTATCTTTGTATGCTCAGAGATAAGCCCAGTGCCTGGCACTCAGTAGGCATCACTATAAATTGAATGGAAGAATGCGTAATTAAAAGTTAATTAGCAAGATTAACATGGAAAAAGGTATCCTTGCCAAAATGACCTGTTTTAAATACACATGTTTAAGGGAACTTTAAATTAAATTTTTAGGAAATATTTAAATTATAATACCAAGCAGAGATGTCTAGTAAAATGATATATAACTGCTGTTCCACATGCCTTGAGAACGGATAAAGTTTTATGGAGGTCACACACAACAAATAACAATTAGAAAGGTTTGATGGTTTATAATAAAAGGCTGCCAAATGATAGAATATTAATTTTTAATATATTATCAAAGATAATAATTTAGTCAACCTCCTATTATCTCTAGCTTTAACACATGAGTTAGTATTCAGGTATTTGTTCTATAACTAGTACACTCAACAAAGTACCCCAAATTCAGAAGACACAGCATATGACATTATATACTTGAGAGGGAATTTAATGTTTTCTCTTTAGTGTGAGGAATGTTACAACTAAGGGAAGTGTTAGTGGTAGAGAACTTTTTGCCCTTTCTATGAAGTAGGCATAAATGTAGAGCTCTTTCCTCACTTAGGTCATCTAAGAGAGCTAAATGAATGAAAGAGCATTTCAGTTCCTACTGGATACTTGTTGAGCAGTAAAATTTGCAAGCTATGCTGGTGTTGCTACAAAGTCTGCTGTAGTTAAAGAAGTTTGGGCTAGCCTCAAGTGTGGGGAAAACCATTATTCCAATAAATCAGGGATGACTTCTGGTACAGAGAATCCAGGTGATGGGTTGGGCTTTTTTGAAGAGTTTGCTTTAGCACATTTGTTAGGCCCAGTGATACAGTGATGCTGAGAGAGAGGACTTTGGGGACAGTTGGATAAAACCTCAGTGATTTCTAATCCTAACAGAACAAGAAATACAGAAGAGCCGATCTTTTGTTTTACTCCTAACTTTCAATGAGATTTTGTATAGACATGTAATGCAATAATCATTGATAAATAAAACAGAAGGAAAACTTTGCCCTGATTTTGATTCTCGCACATGGGAGCAGTTCTTAAATATATTTAGGAGACATAGAGGGGGTGACAACTATTTCACAACTCGGGGAATACTGTTTGTGAGCCACAGGATACTGACTCCTGGAATAAAGTGAGTACTTCTCCCATGGTCATCTGTGCTCACAGAATGTGTGGATAGACCTTCATATTGTATTTTCTAGCTAAAGCCCCTTTCCAAAATTTTCATAAAAATTACAAGACCATGGTAGGAATGATAACATTATGCATTAGATGGCTGACATTCATAATACTATCAAGGTATAATAAAAGCAAAACATTTATGCAATTTTGACTGTATTGTTACCTTGCATGTAATAGACACTTGGGTAATATAAATGAATGGAAAAATAAAAAGAAAACTGGTTAAATATTAAAGTAGTAACTGGAGCCCCAAATGATCACTATAATATACTATAATAATTTCCTTTAGTGTAACTTCAGTAAATATTTTAGAAGGATGGAGTAAAGGAAGGAAAGAAAAAAGGGAAGAAGGAAGAGTATAAGACAGTCATTAAAAGAATTTGGTTTTGAAAATAAGCAAATAGAATTTTTTTAATGTCTCTCTCATGTTATGTATGTTTGTGAAAATTATATTTGACTTCTCAAGGCCTAATTTCCCCACTGGAAAACAGGGAACACAACTACTTCCTAAATTCTTAATCAGACTGTATACATTAAGCACTTTTCTAATACTTCTGTCTAGCCTGATATTTCATATGGGAAGAAATAATATTAACTGTATATTATTTCATTGTTGTTAATCAGGGAAACCAACAAATATAGACTATCAGTTTATTTTTGATTTTAAAAAATGCTTTTTTTAAAAAAAATCTTGATGAATTTTGCCTTTTGGAGGCATCATAATATCAATTTCTAGGTGTTTGGTACACAGTAAGGAGTTTAAGAAGAATAAGCAATTGGAACCCAATTAAATTAGAATATTTAATTTCCTGGAATTATTTTTACTTTTTTTTTTAAATATTTATTTATTTGTGCATACAGAACTGGGGTACAGGCCAGAGGTGCAGGGGTGGCGAAAAGATTCACCAGAGATAGAGGGGGAGCAGAACAGACAAATTGGTAAAGTACACTGCTGAGGGGAGCAGCAGGGGGGTCAGGAGAGGTCTGCCACGCCTTGTGGGTTACCTCCAGGGCAGGCGGGGATCGAGCTCATGAGGAAGTGGTTTTAGCTTCTTAGTGCTGTGCTTTAACCTGCTGCGCCATCAGGGAGGGCCCAATTCCCTGGAATTATTTTATTGTGTCTGAACAAACAGTATAAACTGAATAAAACATGATGTCACATCCACATGAATTTATCATGTTCAAATTGCTTTGTATCACTAAATGTATTTGATTGTTATTTTGTAGGCTTACAACAGGTCAGTATTTGTATATCGCATCTCTTGCAAGTAAATATAACCACATACAAGACACAAACTCTTCCTTTACACAGAGGAATGAGGCTAACTAGCTACATGTCTTTATTCTCCGATATGTTTATAGAATTTTTTGATAATTGAGAAAGTTATTTATCAAAATAAAATGCCCATTGCTCATTTGCTCTCCTACTTGATTTC